AATGGAGAGATTTAGGGTGTGTTTGATGGATATTATTTTGGAAGAATGTATTTTGGAATAGTAGATTGATGGAGAATGTGTGGTTGAAAAAGAAGGAAAAGTTATTGATGTGATGAAAAATATTATTTTAATAAAGAATGTATGGTTGAAAATGAGTAGAAGAATGAGAATGAATATTTTAATGGGTACCAAACGGGAGCTAAATATTAACTCTCATGCCATAGCATTCATACTTTCATTTACTAAATAAAATTAAAAAACAATCATTACTTGAAGTATAAAGTAGTAATGAATCAAACTAATAAAAATAGATAAATAAGATTAAAATTTAAATGAGTATTTCAATCGTTCAATAGAGAAGGCGTGACTAAATTTATGAAGAATTTAATAAAAATCTAGCCAATCTCAAAATACTTTTATGAAAAGAAGATCTAAACCATAGAATTGTTTAAAATAAAAATCTAAATCTATGAATCAAATAATGTTGAAATCACAGAATCCAATTGAATTCCATCCCAACTTTACCAATATGTTTAATTCTCCATGGAATTGTTGGTCATTGTTATTTTGGAATATAAAAGTCTCCTTTGAATATTATGACAGAATTACTTTGAAGTAATTGGACAATGTAACCAATTTGATTAATTGGATCATAGTATTAATTTGAGCCCACCGAGTTCATGATGTTTCCTTAAAACAAATTTGCTGTCTTCACAGGTGTTAAAGGTATTCAACAATCGTTTCCCAGAATAGAACGAATTTCGTCTCTCAGGAAAGCAACACGGCAATCTGCAGGAGTTCCAACGAACTCAACGAAGTGTTTTTTCACTTTTAGAACAATATCATAATGAGAGAGGGACGTGAGATTCAAAGCAGAGAATGATTGCAATGAAAATGGTGTATTTTTTCTGGCATCGAGGCAGATTATTTATACACTTGTTCGTGACCATTCGAACAACATTCAAGCTATTTCAGAACAGTCGTCACTGTTCAAACAGCCCTCAAAACCCGAACAGACAACAATGTTCGGTTAACAGTTGACTGTTTAGTCAATTAACAGACCATCCGAACAAAAAACTACACGAAAATGAGCCAATAAAATTTTTTTTCATTAAGTACCCAAGAATTTGAT